AGAGAAGAGAGCTAGGAGAAGATGAGATCATGAGTGTTGAAACAGCAACTAGAGGAGCAGAAGAGACTCCAGGCGACGTCCAGCACACTGTTGTCTAGGTCCACTCAGATGACCTGTCTGCACCGACCTCCACTCCCCTGCTCCTAGATGCAGAGGACTTGCTGCCTGCAGGAACAGAGCCAGGGCTGGTGGAGGTGGTGATATCGGATGGCGTGGAGCAGTGCATCATGGTCCAGGGTCAGCAAATGGAGGGAGAGCTGCTGATCCTGCAGGAGGAAGAGGGTGGACTCTGCACTGTGGCTCAGACTGTTGAGATAAAAACAATATAACCAAAACCCTCAGCTGGAGCGTCTCAGGCCAGTGACTCAGTGAACCTCCCTTCTTCCAGCCTACCTCAACTACAGGTGTTGTGTTCATGGCAGGAAGGATTTAAAGTGGTTAAATGCTAATTTTACACAAAAATTCCAGCAAACAAAGATGGAACCTTGTTTTTATTTTATCATGCCTGTGTATGTTGCCAACACTCGACTCCGAAATTAGTTGATTTTTGTTGATGGGGAGAACTTACCTCGTCACATTCCTGTAAAAGTGCACTGAAAATATCCCAGCGTTACATCACTTCTTCAACATTTACCTGGTTATCTCCTGGAGGCAAAGGAATAGAATAAAACTTCAGTGAACTTCTGGAAAGTGGCTGACTGTGTGAGCGCAGACTCCAATAAAATCCAAAATAATACAGAAATGGGAAATCCTACATTTCAAATTGTATTTTTTTTATTTTTTGTAAAAGCAGTTTTCATAAGGAAACAAGGAGCAAAGGAACAGATGAAACAGTCTCAATACCCAAGCAAACTAACTTCCTGATTCTTTCCAAATTCAGACTGTGAAAAGGTTTTTTGGTCCTGGTTAGGGATGTAAGAAAATGTCGTTATGGCAATATGTCATTATAAATTTTCAAGCGATATATCTATATTCAAAAGCCGTGTATCTAATTTTTTGGAAAAATTTACATGCATTTATGTATTTTCTTTTCTTTTGGTGCAATTCAAACACCAACCGCTAAATGGCAGCAGTGTGCGATGGGGTTTGTTTCCACCATTAATATGTAAATCCCTCTGTTATGGTTCAGATACCTGATGTTAAACATGTTACATATCAGTTTGGACTGTTTATCGAATATTCCTATGGAAAAATCAGTCTAAAGAATCGCTAATATCGACTGAATTTATGGCAATATATCGTGATACATTGTATCCTTTCCCTGTATTGTGATACTTATCGTATCGCCATACACATCCCTAGTCCTGGTGATCCACGGCACAAGTGTGGGAGGCAAAAAGGCTCATAACTCATGGATGTAAAGGCAAATGGGTTCAAATCGGTTTGTTCAAACACGATCTAGTGACTAATAAATGCTGGTACATACAAAAAAGCCCCATTATGTATAAAACAATAAAAACACATCTAGTATGGAACACTTTCACCTCTAATGCACGGGTTAGCTTTAGGTTGTTTATAATTGGTCATGCTGTGGTGGTGATGTGGTGCAATTGGGTCCTTTTTACAAAAGGCATAAACGGGGTATGGGGGCGGTCTCTGCACTGCTGCAGACTTCCGCTTAACTTGGACATAACTTGGGTTTTATTGCGATTGAAGCCACACTCATTAGGTTTTTTTTGTTCTTTTTAACAAGCCGCTCCTTAAGGTGTCTGTCCCCCACAGTCCATGCAGTCACTGGTGATCTGACCTCCAGCTCTAACAGAGAGAAGCTCCAGGAGCGCTGCATCGCTCCAGATTATCATCTCAGCTGATTCTGTTCACAAAAACAAAACTTAGGCCTGTTTTTACTTTCATTTTAGTTGCCGCCCGGGGCTCGGCAGTAATGGTCCATTCCCTTCTGTACCGGGTCGGCCCGGGCCGGGTAGCCCCAGTCGGCCCCAGCCTGGCCCGGTTGATTCCACAAATCCTTGTCTTAAGCCCATGTGGGCTGATTCTACCCACCAATCAGAGGCTTGCTCTAATGCAGACCTGGGCATTTTACGGCCCGCGGGCCACATACGGCCCTTTGGTTGACTTTGACCGGCCCGCGTAAGGTTAATTGGAAATTACAAAATAAATGTATTTTCTCATTTTACCTCATGCATGGGCTAAGGCTGCATTGCTTTTATTTTGAAGTTGTTTTTTACGTGCACAATGACGCAATACGTATAGCAACAAGTGCCCGCGGTTGACAGGGTGATTGTAGCCCGAGAAATGTCCGCTCATGCAAAAAAAAAAAAAAAAAAAAAAGAAAGATGCCGAATGCAGGATTTTCAACAAAAATTGGACTGCTAAGTATTTTTTTTACTGAATTCGGAGGTAAAGCCGTGTGTTTGGTTTGCGGGGAGGAGATTGCCGTGTTTAAGGACTACAATTTGAGTCGGCATTACGACAAGAAACACTCGGAAAAATACAAGAACTCATCTGATGCTGAGAGGGCACGGACATCCGAAGCTTTGCTAGCAAAGTTGCAAAAGCAGCAAGGCTGTTTTACTAAGCTTCACACATCCAGGGATGCAGCAACCAGGACCAGCTTTGTGATATCCCACAAAACAGCTAAAGACAGCAAGCCGTTTTCAGAGGGAGAGTTTGTCAAAGAGTGCATGGTGGACTCTGCCGCACTAATATGCCCTGAAAAAAAGGCGCATTTGAGCAAATCCCGCTGTCCAGGCGAACCGTGACCAGGAGGATCGAGGACATTGCGGGGAACCTGGAGCTTCAGCTGCAACGTGAAGTGGCAAGTTTTGACTTTTTCTCATTAGACGAGAGCTGTGATGTCCGCGACACAGCCCAGCTGCTCGTATTTGTCCGGGGGATAACGGAGCTCACAGAGGAGCGGGCAGCAATGCGGCCGATGAAAGGGACAAAGACAGGGAGTGATCTTTTTACAGAGGTAAATGCGTGCACGGACACTCTGGGATTGAAATGGGAGAGACAGTCAGGTGTCACAACAGACGGTTGTCCAAATCTTACAGGGAAAAATGTCGGACTTTTGAAACATATGCAAGATAAAGTGACAGAAATCGATGCAGATCAAAAATTGGTGTTTTTTGCATTGAATTATACACCAACATGTGTTTTGCAAGTCAGTGCTAAAAATCAACCATGTTACTGATGTTGTTACTAAAATAATAAACTTCATCAGGGCGCGGACAATGGATCACAGACAGTTTGTCGCTCTTTAGGAGGACTCCACACAGCTGTCAGATGGCTCAGCCTGGGGAAAGTGCTGAAGAGGGTTTGGGACTTGAAAGCAGAGATTCAGGATCTCTGCTGGATTTCTACTCTTCTCTTAAGGAGGAGCACTTTCCAAACCTGAAGAGACATGCTCAGAAGATGTTGGTTTTCTTCGGCTCTACCTACATTTGTGAACAAACATTTTCAATGATGAAGTTTACAAAATCCAGGTAAAGATCCTCTCTCACTGATGATCATTTGTCAGCTGTGCTTCGCATCTCCACCTCAGACATTCAACCTGACTGATGCACTCGTTAAAGCCCAGCAGAGACTAGATTTCTCTCATTGAATAAGAAAAAAATCACTTAAAAACACAAAATAAGGTGTTTGGACCACAAATGTAGGCAACTAGCAGTGAACTGGGACACTTTTTTTTAAACCTCTTTCTCAAGATCACAGTTCAGTGATTTTATTTTACAGACAATACTGTGTGTCTGTAGAACGCTAAGAACCTCTTTCCAACAATATTTGAAACTCAAAATGTGTTTTGGAGTGAATGTGACTAAAACTGTTAACTAATATAAGTCACAAATGTTTAACAAAAACCAAATGCGCACTTTGTTTACCATTGCCTTGGGAAATTTGAATAAATCACATTTTTGTAAGCCAACCTCACTTTTTCCTTTTTGCTCATTTATAACATATAGTCTACTCTTACCAGCTTGAAAAAACAATGGTATTTACTGCTTTTTATAAAGAAATACCACTAATATTATGCATAATTGACTTCAGCCTTTTGGCCTGGCCCTCCACAATATTTTCTATTTCTCATGTGGCCCCATGGAAAAAATAATTGCCCACCCCTGCTCTAATGGAAGGTGGGAATTTGCTGTCAGCAGTGGGTGTGTTGGCCCTGGTCGGCCTGAAGCAGACCCCCTCGAGAAGAGGGCTGAGAATGAGCCTTGGTTGGCCCGGAAAAATACCAGGCCACCCAGATTTGTAAACAACCTACGCTACCCAGCCCGGGCCGACCCGGTACAGATGGGAATGGCCCGTTACTCTCCACGTGATCATGACCCCATCCTTTGTTGCACCAAGGTACAATCGCCGATTATAAGACAGACAATTACCGCAATATTACTACCGAGCAAGGTGGAACAAATGCAGAAATTTCCGCGCAACGTCATGCCAGCATGGCGTGTTCATAAGACACACCCTTGTTGTAATATTACGCTGATTTGCCAGCACGGTGTGTAAAAAGGGCAACAGGCAGCGTTACAACAAAATGTCAGCACCAAAGCTGAATGTATTCATGTGCCTGAGACATTATTCTCACCTTATTTTTTCAATTTGAAAGGAGAAAAGTGTCCTCACTGCATTTTATTAAACACTCACAAAGGAATGAATTTAACCAGTGTGAAATGTGTCGCATTAATTCTTTTGTGCAAATGTAAATGTGAGCCTGGGATTCTCCAACTCCGATTGCTCTGTTGTCTCTTAAAAGAGAAACACTTTAACATGAAGTAAACCTTCTGGCTCTGAGCAGTGTAAAACTCCTTCTGCTGCGTGACAACAAACACCTAAGCCCTCGATGCCAGATCTGTAAAATTAATCGGTCTGGTACAGTTAGGGGGATGTTGTTTTGAACTGTAATAGATTTCAAGAGTCCACTGGATCTTAGGTTTTATTTTTACAGTGTAATGAGCAGAAACAGGAGCCTTTCTCATGGATACTCTGCTTAGAAAAAAATGAAAAGGGGGGGGGGGGGGGGGGGTGTTCACTTTCATTATGTTTTAAAGGAGACATAACATGAAAAACCCACTTTTTTATCCATTAACACAGTGTGTTTCACATTTTAAGTGTCTAAGTGAGCAAAAAGGCTTATATTATTCACTGGAGTTGCTATTTAGATATTTAATAATTAAGTTTTGGGCATATTTGTCCACCCGTTCAGTTTTTCACATTATCTATTACATCAGTAATTTATTTCGTCAGGATAACTACCAAATATGGTAATGGCCCTCGGCTAAACACAGAGCCAATCTGCCATTTTTTCTTCTCGCTAAGATTTTTTGTAGTCCTATTGGAAAAATGCAGAATGTCTGGTTATTTTAGCCACACACAGCTCAAAACTGTTCCTCGTTTTAAGGAAGGGTGGTGTGGCAGTATTTAAACCCAGGAGCTGATGACACTACTGCTAAAAAAACACAGAAGAAAAAGTAGTGTGTTTGTGTTTGTTGTGTGTGTGTGTGTGTGTGTGTGTGTGTGTGTGTGTGTGTGTGTGTGTGTGTGTGTGTGTGTGTGTGTGTGTGTGTGTGTGCGTGCGTGCGTGGTTCGTTCGTTCTGTCTCCAGGCTAGTGGCTAAGTACTGAGGGCTCCATCTGAATTTGGCAGCACCGGGACACAGCAGCAGAGCGGTAAGCTTCATATAACTCTAAAATGTCGACAAACTTTACTTTAGATTTATGGGCATTAGCAGCACTAAAGCGTTAGCATCCGGCTTGCTATCGCTAGCACAGTATGCTAGTAAAGTTAGCACCTAGATTAATGTGGATTTGGCTGATTTTCGTGGAATAAAACGTGATTTCTGATCAACGCCTTCTTTTACACCAGATGATAACCTCCCACTGATTGTAACAGCAGAGAGCCTGTGTGTTATTCTACGTGAGTGTGATGTAATCTTAGCATCCAGCAAATAAAGTCCCATATCAGCTAAAATGCAGCGTGACAAAGTCATTAAAGTGCGTCAACACAGTGGATTTAATAGAGTTTTAAAGAACGATCTCTGAGTGGAGTGAGGTTAGTTTTTTTGTCTCACTGCAGATATAAAAACTAACTCTGCATCAGTCAGACGCAGCAAAGCTCACCGTCTGTATGAGCGTGAGCGTCGGAAAGCTGATAAAATCGGCTGTAAAATAATTAAAACAAAAGTAAAAATGCTCCTTTGCTTTTTAGAGTCAACATCCAGAAGTCTGGAGCCGTGTTTCACTGACAGGCTGTCAGACTAACGCCCTGATGAGCTCAGCAGGGACAAACTGGTCTGATGTTTAGGTAAGTGAAGATCGGCTTCTCCAAGTCCTTGAGATGCTAGTAAAAAATAATGTAGCCAGCTGGCAAATGTTACTTTTCTTCTCCTCTAAGGAACACAGAACGTTCAGATGTTGGCGTTTCACGTCACCTACTGAGGAAGGAGGCTCACCAGTAAAGAGATGGTAGCTGGACCAGACCAAAGTGAGTGATGACACACCTCAGCCACCCTCATCATTAAGAACACCTCACCCCTGAATCACTCCGTCTGATGACAGCAGAGTGATTTATTTGATGTTTTACTTGTTTAGTCTGTTTAGAAATTATTGAATTACATTATTTTCTGTAATCGACCATCTGATCTGGATGTGTGCAGAATAACTTTCCCCAAATTCAGCAGCAGCTGGCCTACAAAAACAGCTGCAGCATGTAGTAAGTCTGTCTGCACTGCTCTCTAATGAGCTTCCTTTCATAAGGAGTCATTTGTATAATTTTAGTGTCACTATTTTATTACATTTGTAAGAATATGAAGTCACTGCAGCAAAGTGAACTTGTGAACAAACACAAACTTGACTATAAACATGAAAGCTAAAGAAACAACTTTCCTAAAGCTGCTTGTAAACAAAATACGTCATTAAAGTTATTGTCTATCATTGCAGAATATGGCGATGACATCATGGAACTGGTCTTTGGAAAAGTTTTCCCTGAACCAACTCCGTTTCTAGATGAGGTAGAGAAGATCTGCATCTCACCAACCCTCTGGTCTCAGTATTCAGACAACGGAGGTCTCCCACTGTTATCCAGGACCAGTTTGAAGCCCACATACTGCCCCTCCCTCATCATCAGGAAACATCAATCCGTTTCCTGAGGACAACAGAAGACGGCAGGAGGACAGGAACTCTGTGACCTAGATACCACCAGCACCGAGACACAAAGCACCTGTGTGCACAACGCCTGTTTAACTACTAAAGCCTGTTTATTATATTGTTCTACTTATTTGCTGTGAGGTTAATACTTAGAAAATTTGTATATTAATGTAAACAATAAAAAAAATCACTGATTGTATGTTTTCTTTTAGATGTAATGGTCCAAACTCAGCCTTGTAGACATTTATTGCATCCTGTAGGTAACAGGCTCAGATCCAGGATGACCCAGCATGCTCTTCTTCCATTCTGGCTGTTAGGGATTTTATCAATAACTCAATGCCTACTGATGTTTTAACCTAACAGTATTTATTTAGAATGCAGGTAAGATTTAACTATATTTGTTAGCAAAGCAGACTGATCTTGGGAATTTCACTGCAGCACTGATGTCCACCTCTCTGTACACATTAGAGAGAATTACCACTTTACAGCTAAACACATTTAATAAAGATATAGGCTAAACATTGCAGACAATAAAAACAAAGTTGTAAGCATTAGAATTATAATGATCACATTAAAGAACATTTGGAGGAATGTTCTTTATTTTTGACTAGAATCTCAAATCTTTAAATTAAAATGTAACTGCTTTTTATCCATTTTCAGCCTTTAAGACACCCAATATAAAATAAGACTACTTATAAAATTATTTATAATTATATGTATGTATATAGATAGAGATCTTAATAAAATATATTCTTTTAATGGTGTTTTAATGAGCTGTATCATTTTTTTAAACATTTTTTATAGAAATAAGCAAGCAGCATTCCTTGTGTGTGTGTGTGTGTGTGTGTGTGTGTATGTGTGTGTGTGTGCGCGCGCGTGTGCCTGCTCGCTTGTCCCTCCGTCGGCCGTGACGGTGTCGGTACAAGATCTGCTCGGGTGCAAGATCGGCTCGGGTCCGTCGACTGCCGATGACGTCTAAGTAGTTGATTGGCTGAACATGAACCTTACGGAATTACGTAATCACGTAACGTTGTTATCACGTGACGTTGGTCCAGGCAAATTTTTTTCTATTGGAAAGATGGACAACTTTTACAAAGAAATCCATCATTACCTCTTTGAAAATACACTTTTAGCATAGAGCTGCAAGTATAATAGGGCTGAACGATTAACTGCATGTGCAATAAAATTGCGATGTGACAAAAGAAGATTTTCTAATGGCAAAGGCTGCAATTTGGCAGCGAGTGGTTAGCGCAATGCTAATATACATGGAAAAACCCATAGGAATGCTAATGCTAATATCGCAGATTACATTATTACAAATTATGAATTAGAAACGTGCCAAATAATTACATTTGGAGTCTAATAGAAAGTAAAAATACCATCAATCAAATAAGTACAGACAGGTATTTTAGTAAAGCCAGGAGATTTTCTAATCTCAAAGGCTGCAATTTGGCAGCGAGTGGTTAGCGCAATGCTAATATACATGGAAAAACCCATAGGAATGCTAATGCTAATATCGCCGATTACATTATTGCAAATAATGAATTACAAACGTGCCAAATGATTACATTTGGAGTCTAATAGTAAAGCCAGAAAACTTTTAACTTCAGAGTTTTGGCTAGCAGCTACAGTCTATGACAAGATGTCAAAAACTCTAAACACAAAATACTTAAATAAACGGGACACACTTCTTTCCTGCAAATTTCACAGGTGTTTCTAATACCTATGATTCTTCAAGGGATGTGCTCAAAGAGGAGTTCAACATTATGAATAAGATATAGTGTTTTATTTTACAAATACCATTATAAACACAAACTTACATCTTAAGAAACGTTATTTTAATAACGAAAGTGCTAAATTCTTTCCAACAGTATCTAGACGTGTAGTGTATTTTGTCCGAGTCGGTTTGCCGTACTTTGACGTCATCGGCAGTCGAAGGACCCCGAGCCGATCTTGCACCCGAGCAGATACTGTACCGACACCGGGTCTGTGTGAGTGACAACAGACAAATGCATGAGAGAGTTAGCAGCCATGAAACAGCTTGATGAACTACTCTCCCCACATGTTTTAAAAATGCTAATATGCTATGCTAAATCTGCTATGCTAAATAATGATTTCTCTATAGAACTACAAAGTCCGACTGGGGGAGGAGAGTACAGGTCTGCACTATGGAGGGGGGGCAGAGTTTACAGCTCCTCCTCCAGTTTAAAGAGACAGTACCCAAAAACGGCTCGTTCTCAAGACTCTCCTCAGAACAGGGGTAGATGAGGGTCTGTAGAGCAACAATAATGAGGAAATCAGACCAAAGAACTGCAGTTCTACTGTATTTAGACCCCAACTGAAGGATTTAGATGTAAAAAGGAATAACTTAAAAGCATGTTATGTCTCCTTTACATGTATAGGGCTTGTCAGTTTTACGTGTATAGGGCTGGTCAGTTTTACGTGTATAGGGCTGGTTACTTTTACGTTTATAGAGCAGGTTAGTTTTACGTGTATAGGGCTGGTTAGTTTTGCGGGTATAGGGTGGATTTGTTGGTTGGTTGGTGTTAGGTAATTTGATTTTATCCCATATTACCTTAAAGGACGACACACCCGGGGAGAGAGAGAGAGAGTAAATTGATTATTTGTAATGTCCATGTGTGTGGCTCAACCAGGCCCCATTCTGCTCCAGCCTCAGCCTTCTGCTCTTACCAGCTTTGCATACCTGCATTCTCCAATTATCTGTTAGATAATATTTAACCTCCATAACCCTGGAACCTGAAATAAACACACATGACGACAAGGAAGACATTTTACACTGAATTAGCCAAATGGGGGGGAGATCACCATGACACATAACTCTCTCCAGAGCTAGCTGCCAGGCGACTCCCCCTTCCTCAAGAGTCTTCAGTGGTTTTATTCACCAAATGGATGGGGGGAGAAGGCGGACCTTCTCAAGTTACAGAGTTACAGAGTTCTCTCAATTAACATCTTTGCTCAACCTTTTTATGAACATACCAACACAGAGATTCATGATGTGTAATGGGCATCTTTTAGGTCTCAAAAAGGTACATTTTTATAAAAATACCCAACATTCCCTCCTGATGTGACTTTTTGAGCAATAAAAGATTAAACCAATAAAACAACATTAACATGAAATTAGGACACACCTAACCTGGAATTTGAAATGACCAATTAATCAATCGGATTTTAGTTCAACATTAAACCAGACACCAAACCCAATTTTATCCTGTATTTCTAGCTTCATTAACTTATCCCCCCTGAATGCTACCTTTGAGCAATGATTATCCTGTCAACAAAACCCAGAGCAAGAGTTAAAACCTGGAATTAGGAATGAATAATCTAGACACCAAAACCTACATAATAATCTTGAATTCCTAGCTTTATTAAAGTAACCCATATCATTTGTCATCAAACACTTGTGGATCTTCTGCTCCACATCAGTCGTTACCTCCTGTGCTGCAATCGATCGCTTGTAGGACTGAACAGGTGTCACAGGTTTTGAGTTTTCTGTGGCTGGCTGACCTGCAGTTCTGGTTCCCTCCTGAAGTTGGTGTTTGACCTCTGCACCTCATCTCCAGTTCAGGTGTGATATCTCGGTCACACTGTGCTCTCAGCTTTGCGTCGTCCCGCTGACGTGTCGACGCAGGTCACTTCCTGAGAGAGCTGACTGGCCCACAGCGGGTTTTGTGGTTTTACATCAGCTTACAGGTTGGTACCGGTTTGGGCTAACTGATCCACTTGGTTTGTGGTTTAACATTAGCTCAGCCGGTGACGGTGGTTTGTATCACTTCCGTCTTGGACTGCAAGTCAGCAGTTAGCCACGTCTTTCGTGCTTCCTCCATCTTGGATTGTGGGCTCCACCTCCTTTTCAACACACCTACAAGTCACAAACGTTTCAAAGACCCACAGCAGGATGCCACAGGCACAGACCAATTTGCATTCTGTTAGACATGCGTTCAACTTCCACAGCTGCTTGCTCAAAGGAACTCAGATCCTCTGAAGTCTTTTCATCGACACTCTTCTCCTGAGTCTGAGCCATTCCTGCATTCGGAGAGTATCAGGACAGGACATAGCAAACCATCTTGTGTTGCAATCACAATACCTTCCTGGTTGTTGAGGGTCAATGGGGCACAAAGCGTCTTGTCCCCGATCTGTGTCCTCTGATGTTTTCTGCAGGAACCAATGCAGCCAGCCACTGATCTTTATCACCTGTTAATCGAGTTCCCATCATCACATCACAGCAGGACACAAATCAAGGAGTCTCCCAGCCTGTCTTGCCTAGGGAACAATTTGCATTTAGGAAAACAGTGTACCCAAAAGTTGTGCTGCCTAATTGTTTAAATTAATAAACATTGATGTCTGGTTTAGCATGAAAATAGCATATGGTCTGTCCTAAATTTTCACAAACAAAATAAAACACATCCAAATTCTTTAAAACTAGCTTGTCTCAAAAGGAGTTAATCAGAGATTCTATCACACTAAGGCGGAGTTTACACAATCACGTCACAGAGGCTTCAAAGAGGTTTTTCACAAAAGGACCCTAGAGTCTTCTAGTCTAGCCTTGATTTAGCTGCTTAGGCTCACACATTTGCATTCAGGCAAAAGGCATTCTAATTTAAATGAACCAGCCCATCTCCACCTTGTAAGGTAATCAAAACTTTATCAGTTACACCACCCCCTCCTGTGGAGGTAGGGTTCTCACACATTTACAGGATCTAAATTAATCAAAAGGAAGTCACTCAGATTTATTAAACCTTATAACCCAAACAGAAAATAAATGATGGTAATAGCTCAAATGTTGAAATAGTTACAAAACAGCCTTACTGTTGAGTAAAATAACATACTACGATCAGCATTATGGTCTGTAGGGGCTGAGTTGATGTTTACATTTCAAACAAGATTTGCATAGAAATAGCATACAGGAAAAATCTAGCACCGTGTTGATTCAATCATGTTATTAAATTAAATCTATCAATGGTCGATAAGACACATTTAACGGGAAGTTTTTACGGTTCATAAAAAATCTAAACACCCTCCTGTAAAGCCAGTCTTATGGCAGAAACACCAAGTTTAACATGATTTAGTCATATGATAAAATGCTGAGATAAAAAACTGTTACTGCATAGTGTAGAATTCTATTTACCTAAGATCATAACCCACTAAAGTAAAACTGAAAAGTTGTATTTTTAATCTTGGTTCATGAGCAAAAGGTATCGTCGGATCCAGAGTAGCTGCTGCACAGCTAATCTACCAGAGCTATAAGCAAAGAGTCTGTCATTTTAAAATGGCATAAGCTAGTTATAAGGTTATGTGCCTCTTAAAACACAAAATCATGAATTTTCCCTTCTAATTCTGTAATTTGGGGTCAAATTCCTCAATAAATGATTAGGGGAACTACTTAAGTCTAACTACATGATCTTTTAGAAAGAGTATTTATTTATTTTAATAAAATAATAAAAGGCCTGTAGACCAGAATATCTAATTTAACTTGAGGCAATCGCGTGAATCATCTCCATCTTATTTGGGCAACCATTCAGCCTGTGAAGCTGAAGGAGTTAGAGGATGGATGTCTTTATCCCTGCTTAACTGTATTTCCTTAACATTCTATCTATGTAAGTCATTTTGTTTACTAGTTCAGTACGAGTTATCATGCAGATAAAAGCAATGACTTTTTCAGATAGTATTT